TATTTTTTCCTTTCTTTTCGAAAATATACTATTCTTTTCTAAATATTTGGCAGTAACAACGACCAGACCAAAGAAATTATCATTACGTGAATATTATTTTTTGACCGAAATCGATATCGGTGGGTGAAGAACAAGATGTTGAATGTCTTTCCTAGAAAGGAAATGTATGAAATTGTCAATCTCAAGATATTCTTCCAGACCAGCATGAGCAATGTCGAGCTTAAACTTTGTAATGGATCCTTCATGATGGGTCAAAAGCTGAGAGATAATAACTGTAGGGTAAAGTCTATCCTCTTGTGTTCTCCAAAGAGATTCATCAAGCTCAAACTTTGAAAGTCTACACCAAATGATACCTCCATTTCTTCGATAATTTGAATGTGGTCTAGAGTATCTGACATTTTCTACACTAACTTCTCAAGCAACGGGCTACAAGAGATTAAACTTTCTAGTAACGTGGAAGAAATTGTGACATCACACAGTTCCAGGTTATGTAACATATCAAACCCTTTGAAGGCTGGTGGAGGACATATTACACAGTTTCAGAGAGTCAAATGCCTCAACTGCGAACACGTGAAAAATGAAGGCGGCAATCTGTATCGGTTCCACCTCTAAAATTCAAGAACAAGATGCTGCATATCATTCCTAGAGAGGAAATATATCAAACTGCCAATTTTAGAATACTTTTTTGACTTTAGAAATGGAGAGGGTAAACTTAGTAAGCGGTCCTGAATGAAGGGTCAAAATGTGGTACACAATTTTTGTAAACATAATAGAAGGGGATAGTAAGTCACGTGTCTCCTCCCAAAATGCATCATCAAGTGTCAACTGAGGAAGTTTGCACCATTTATACCTCCATTTCTTCGATAAGAAGCTAGTCCTCACAGCTTTTCGCAAAGGCAAACGCATCAGAATATCATTGATAACATTCTCTGGAAGGTTGCTAAGTCGATCGGAAGGTAAACTTTGATAAACATGATTTTTGTTCTCAGGTGGCATCATAAACGCCAATAAGAATCTGCAGAAAAATAAACAGAACACAAAGTTAAGGTATCTCCGCGCATACTACATAGACAACACAAATCCACCCCCTCTTAATATCGACGAATTGCATACTTTAGAGCAAGAATACCTTCCATAAATACTTCATGAATCCATGGACTATACATATTTTTTATTGAAAATGAAAAATCAATAGAGCACATACGAGAGTCACATTGTCTTTTGTTGCTAATAAGCTTTTCAGCGGACATCTATAGACTATAGCTACACGATAAGTAGAAAAATTGACCAGTATTTGGTAATTTTCACTCTTAAAATCAGCTTAGCAGCTTTTTCACAGCTTTGGCTGGATTTTGACATTAAGTTAGCTACAACTACTACTAGATTTCTGATCACCTTTATAAATCATAATTCCCAAAATTTGCAGAGCTCTTATCTTGCCTGGCAAGTATAAACACAGCAGGGTTCCTAAAGAAAATTGAACATAATACTAGATCCTATAGCTCTAAAAAAAAAAACCAATTGCAATTACTGAACCTAAGCACATACCAAAAGGAAACCAACATCTAAAATTGGTATAGTTGAGAACATAGAGATTAGAGCCTGTCTCATAGAATTAATATTTTTCAGGGTTCATAGATTCAGTTTTTTTTTTTTTTTTCTTTAAAAGTAAATATTAAATTCAGTTGTGTAATACACCTAAATATGCATTTTTATCTGGAAAAGTTAGGTGCGGATGTACCCCTTTAAGAAGGGGTGGCATGGCACCGGTAAGATGATAAATTTTTTATATACCTATGTTGAGATTTTCTTAAATTAGGTTAATTATCTGATCCTGCCATCCACAACCGTAAACTAGACAAAGGTGCCATGGCTGATAGACCTTTTTGAAAGCTTTTCTTGTGTGTAAAATTCAAGTTGAATTTATCTTGAACCTCGTCAGACTTTCTCTTTTCTTTGCGCTTTTATTTCCTTTTGTCCTAGTCATTTCCCTTTTCGGCTACCACCGAATTTTCTATTTGTCGTTTTATTATTATTTTTATATTTTTCTTTCTCTATTCTATTATTTTGTATGTGATCTGTAGCAAGAACACTAAAAAAAGAGACTCCTAAACTTTAAAATTATATAAGATAAGCAATCCTCTTAATTAAATTTATGAGTTTTCTTTTTTCAAATCCGAAAAACTTGGGTCTTAATGAGAATTTTGGATTGAGATAAAAAAAAAAATTCATCCTTCTTATTATATCATAAAAAAATTGTGCTATGCGATGGTTGTTAGATATAATTTAAATCGCTTTACTATAATTTCGTAAGCGTTGCTTAAAAAATATGTGATCTATGATTTTGATTTATGATAAATTGTAGTTTATCTAATTTATGCTTATGGGTATAATTTATCTATGGAAAATATTTTTTTTAAATTTCTTATTCTGATTGATGTAATTCTCTTTTTGAAGATATTATCTTACTTGTGTAAATTAATTTTGATATACAGAAAAGATGTAATTTTCCAGTGAAAATATTGATTTTACTTATGTTGTTATAATAAAGGTGTGATCCTATTTTAAAATTCTAATCACATTTGTTGTTATATCTGAGATGTAATTTTAAATTTTCAAATAAAAAGTACCTATTAGGTTGACCCAAATTAACTCAAAAAAATCGATTAAATGTTCCTAACAAATGTCATATTAGTCATTACAAAGTATACGTTAAAGGAAATTATGGCACCTAGCAACTTCAAATCCTAGATCCGTCTCTGGAAAACGTCATTGTTTTCGGTTGAACAGAAAAACAAGCAGGTGAAGAGAGCTTGAGCAAGCATTAGTCCGAGATATTCCTAGGAGTCCGGGAGTACAGAAAATTCAAAATGCACACATATTACTCGAAACTAAAATTGGTATAAATCAGCAAAATTCAATGCCTCAGTATATCAAAAAGAATAAAGATTAACAATAGATTAGTTAAAGACTAACCTAATAAAATTGGAAGATCGAATTGGCACTGTTAGGGTTTTCTCCTTAGACGAACCTGAAGCCTCTGAAATGGAGTTTTAGGAGAATTGGCACTTCATTTCTAAAAACTATGAGCCCTTTTTAGCAAATTAGAGAAGATCAATTACACCTCTTAAGTTATGTTTAAAAAATCAAACCCCCCCTCCAAGTTTGAATAATAGTCATTTCTAACCCTCATATCCTACGTTATGTTGGAACTTTACGTGTTGCAGCATAAAAATGGTTATTTTTCAATAACTTTGTAAACGCTAGCTATTTTTTGATTACTGATCAAAAATTGGCTAGCCCGTACTATTTTCAATAGGGAAAGAAACTTAGGTTTACTCAAAACGCATGACTAATGGCAGTGAGATATTCTCATACTCCATAGTCCATACTCCATACTACTATAAACAAATGGAAGTCTTCCATTTTTATCCCTAACCTTTCTCGTTTGTTTGTCTCTTGTACTTTTTTAAAAATAGAATTTCCTTAGATAAAATTATTTTTTATTTTTCTAAAATTTAAAATTTTAAACTCCACTAAATTTGAATTGTTAATTTTTATTTGAACTAAATGTAATTTTTTTAAATATTTAGGACTTTAAAATTCCATTAAAATTGTATTACTGTATACTTTTACACACCCGTTTTCTTTAATCCTCAGAAAGTTTTCCTTTTTAATGGACTTTACAATCATTGATTAGCCAGACGAGTGAGTTCCAAAAATAGAAGAATTAATTCAAATAGCCGTTCATCTAATCTCTTAAACTAAAACTAGTCGGTGGATATATAACATATGTGTAATTCATTTATAATATATGTATAATTATGTATAATCAATGTATAATCTCTATATATACCAGCTAGAAAAAGTAAACACTGAATCTGACCGGTTGTTTGTGTAACAACCCAATGGTTATAACAAAAAGAAAATGATGTATTTCTTAATTTTCTTGCATTATTTGTTAATTGTGATCTTTTTGTATACAGCCTAATTCTCAAGATGAGAATTTATGAGCCATTCGTGGTATACTTATTTTGCCCGCAGAGAAAAAAAGCTCTACAATTCTTAGTTTGCATCTTCTTTTGTATGTACGTCTTTAAGAAGTACTTTTGAAAATTGATCTCTGTCTCCAAAACTAGAAAAAAAAAAAAATAACAAAGTAAAAGGCTTATAACTTATTTGGTCAAGCTGCAAATTAACTTATTTTGAGAAGTACTTTTTTTCAAAAGTACTTTTGGTAAGACGCAATTTGTGTTTAGCTAATCAATTTAAAAAACACTTCTGAATAGCACTAAGAGGTTGTTTTGGTAGAGTGCATTAGAGAAAATAATACATGCATTTGTGTATTAATAATACCTTGTTTGGTATACTTTTTCAACATATGTATAACTAATACAAGCATTAGTTATACACCTATTTGATATTATCCTGTGTATAGCTAATGCATAGCAAACCATGATAATAGCAATATCAAGGCTATTAATACATGCATTAGCATAGTTAAAGATAAAATTATCTTAAAGTCCCTTAAAACTAAAGAATATGGAGGACATTTTTGTAAGCAACTAATTTTCTTAAAAATTATGCAATGCATTTTAATTTTTAATACACCACACCAAACAATGGATAAGAAATAACCTCTGCATAACTAATGCTTGCATTACTAACCCATACATTACCAATTCCTCCATTACTAATAAACCCTATTCAGCACTTCTTATACCAGACGACCCTTAGTGTTTGGCCAAGCTTTTAAAAACTGTATTTTTCTCAAAACTGCTTTTCAAAAAAGTGTTTTGAAGACAAGCTACTTTTTTCTATTTTTTCAAAACCTCTTCTGCTTCTACTCAACATCATTTTCATCTTATGTTCTAGAGAACAAGTATCAAAACTGTTTTATATTAAACCTTTATATGTAAAAGGTACTTGAGAATCAGGCATCATTGAAGAGTAAAGAAAAAAACCAATACAGCAAATAGGAATCTATGAACAAAGTGTTCTGTCATAAAATAGTTTAATATAGAACATATGCAAACAACTGAGAAATGCATACAAGGTTATTCTCCACATCAACCTTGTATTCTGCATAGTTAGACAGACAAATAGCATTACATCCATTATTGTGGTCGGGGAAGGGCCGGACCACAAATGTCTATTGTACGCAACCTTACCCTGAAAAATCCTTAACAAGTAATGACAATGTTATTACAGCACAAACTAATTGAAACATCCATCCAGCAATGCCATGTTCTGAAACAGATACGGCATGGGAAAACACTGTTCTACTGCTACATCAACATTTGTTTCTCTTTTCAATGTTAATTTCTAAGTTAAAGATCCTAATATATTTAATCTACATAGACTACTTCTGCTTTAGGTGATGCATGTGAAAATTTTGATATCTCAGCGAAAACTTGTAATCTTGTGTCAAGAGGTTCATCATCTAGAAACTGTCGATCGATTAGCATTCTCACCAACACTGGGGAGTTGGCTAACAAAAGCTTGATAAGCTGCATCTCAGACGTGCTTCCTGTACAGAGTTCTATCTTAACTTCCCTTAGGTGATTAAATGTCACGTTTGACAAATGTTTGAGTTCAAGGGATTCCTCATAACCACTATCTTCATTGTCAACCTAAAAAAGATAACAACAAGGCAACTCTCAGATTATTGAGGATCTAAGAAATACGAAAAATAGTCACTAAATAAGAAAGAAAGAACCTGTATTTCGAGATATTCTAAACATGGGAAGCTTCTTATCAAGAAAAGAGCAAATGAGAGCTTATATGAATCTATCAGCATAATATGAGGCAGGTAAAATCGTTTGACGCTGTTAAGAACAAAGGGAAGCCTTGTTGGTGCTTCATTGTAATCATCATAGAACTAGGAAAAAGATAACCAAAATTCAAGATGAGTCAGCCCAAAAGAAGTTCAATCTGCTAAAGTGCATAACAATGAAGTCATGAAGTAACACCTACCATGGTATTGGAGAAGTCCAAGCGGAGGTGCTCAAGAGCAGAACAAGACTCGAAAACCTTTGCAAAATCAAGATTCTCTGCCCTCATATCGTCACCTGCCAGAGATACTTTTACCAGAAGAGGGACATTCTTTAAGCAGATAAAACTTATATCGCCTCTGAAATTAAACGATCTCAACATTGGGGCATTAATTTCAATAATGCTTAAAATTTCTGGGATATTCAGAATCAACCTCTTAAGCACCGGACAACGAGATATTAAACTTTCGAGCAATACAGAAGAAATTTTGACATTGCGTAGTTCCAAGCTGGTTAACATATCAAATCCTTGAAAGGCCGATGGAGGATGAATTAAACAGTTACGAAGAGTTAGATGCCTCAGCTGCGAACAAGTGAACAGTGAAGAAGGCAATTTGTATAGCATTTTCCACGAAAGGTCAAGAACAAGATGTTGAATGTCTTTCCTAGAGAGGAAAGAGATGAAGTTACCTATGTCAGGACAATTTTCTAGAAAACCAATGTTAAGGGTAAACTTAGTAATGGGTCCTTCATGAAGGGACAAAAGCTGGTAGATAATCTTTGTAAATTTGACTGTAGGGTTTAGTAAATCTTTTTTTGTTACCCACAGAGATGAATCAAGCGTCAACTTTGTAAGTCTACACCAGTGATACCTCCATTTCTTCGATAAGATGCTAGTCCTCACAACATCTTTACAAGGCAAACACATCAGAATGACATCGATTACATTATCAGGAAGGTCGCTAAGGACGTCAGGAGGTAAACTTCGACAATACTTTCTTCTCTTAGGAGGCATCATATAACAATAATCGCCAAGAACCTGCAGAAATCAAGCAATTATACGAAGTAAGGAATACCCAAACTACTTGGATAGAACGGCTATACACACGGTCAAATCAACATAAGAAATAAAGGTGCATTCTAGTTGAAACTAGTCAATTATGTCCTTTTATTATATATATTATACCGATATTCCAACTTGCCTTGAGATACCTATATTGGTACCATGACGGCGTGCATATGGACCAATAAAAAAATCCATGTAACATCGCTTAATATTCATTAATTGTTTTCCTACGACAAGAACAAAGAGCCTTGGCGTAACTCGTAAACTTGCTATCATGAAACAAGGAGGTCATGGATTCGAGCCATAGAAACAGCCTATTGCAGAAATGTAGGGTAAGGCTGCTTACAATAGACATTCGGTAACCACAGGATGATCCACAAGAAAGGTGACATGATTTGAACTTGTGGCCGGCCCGCCCTGACCTGCTGGTTTGGGTGGCTGGGTTAGCACCCCTCGTCGGCTTGATCTATGCCGGCTGTCAGAATCAAACGAAGGGCGAACGACCATTCAATTCATTAAGGGGTATAGCGGCACCCTCGCCCGGTGCCATTTCCGGACCTAGTAGCAGATGGGTGGGCCGTGCCTAAATTCAGTCTGGACCAGACTCCCTTATGGTCTGGCCCTTCCCCGGACCCCGGGCGGAGCTCCTGAGCTGCCTTTTTTTTTCTCTTCTACAGCAAGAACAACTTCCATTTCATAGAATACATTTTGAAGGTTCAAAGGAAAATTTCAAATGTATAGAAACCCATAATCAACTTTTATCAACCATCATTACTAACAATAATGAGAAGAAAAAAAATATTACTAATATACAAAATTTGGTCAGTTTTTAACTCATAAATAATCATAAGAAGCAGTTTTTGCTAGATCAGAACATCAAATTAGTAGCTTTACTATATAACTTCAGCTAGCATACAACAATTGCAACTACTATTGAATGTTGTAAACACACATACCCGAGAAAACAACATTCTAAAATGAGTACAAAAAAAAGGATAATATCATCCAAAAGGGAAAGTGATGATTTAAAATAGTAATAAAGAAAAGAAGAGAGATAACCTTATGAGTGGCTTCAGCACTTAAGTTTTATTTGTTCAAGTCATGAGTCTCTCAATCTAGGGGTTTTAGAGGAGAGAGAAGATGGGTTTTAGAGGAGAGAGAAGAATTGGGGAAAACAGCAGTAGAGTAAAGTTAAAGGGAATGTTTGGTTACCCTTATAAGAAAGAATGGACCACGTTTACAGCTTGTTTGGATTATTAACACATGTTATTTTGTATTGTACTGTATTATATTATTTGACGAATATAATATTAAGATACATTATATCGTTCATTATTATTTTATAATATTACAGATCAATAAGATGAAAAATAAACTTATGATATTACTAAAAAAATATGAAATAAAATTATTACTTATATAAAAAGTAGAATAAATAATAAAATATATAATTATTAAAAAAGGTAAGTGTTTGCAACTAATTTTTAACATATGAAAAACAAATTGCAACCACAAAACAATAACGTGATTTTATTGATAAACATTGCGGGTTATAACTCTGTTTGTTACTTTGATTCTTGTCTCCTGATTATCTCCGTGATTCGAGAGCTGAAGCCACGTATTTCTCGAATGTAGACCTCCTGGGGATGTATTTGATCTCCAACTTCTTGAACTATTTGATTGTCAAGAAGTATTTGGCCATATTTTGATCTCTTTGTGAATATCCCAAGAGTTTATTGGATTTTGAGATCATCTCCATTTTTGAGTTAGGGTTAGGGTGTGCCAATTTGTTTGCAACGTCTTGTCTCGCTGGGCGTGCCAATTTGTTTGCAACTACTTTTCAATATATGAAGAATAAAATGCAACCACAAAAGAATAAAGTAATTTTATTGATAAACAATGCGGGTACAATTCTGTTTATCCCTTGATTCTTTCCCCCGCTTTATTCTACTTGATTCGAGGGCCTTAGCGGCGTATTTCTCGAACGTAGGACTTTAAGAAAGACATATTTGACATGTCTTTGATCTCTTAATGAATACTCCAAGAGTTTCATGGAATTTCGGAGATCTCATATTTGATCTCTTTGTGCATATTTCGAGAGTTTATGGAATTGTTGAGATTGTCTTTGGAGAAAATATATAGCCTTATTTATAGGCATGAATTAGGGTTAGGGTGGAGTAGCCACCAAGTAACTCTAATAGACTCCTAATATTTCAAGAGTTGTCTTGAATTTAAGATTTATCTTGATCTGTTAAAATTTTAGTGTCTACAGACGATAGAAAAAACAAAGTAATGATGCTACCATACCAAATCTTAAATCTATCATTTCATAAAGTGATATTTTTCGTTATTACATAACGATGAATATAATAATACCATACAATAAAATTTAACTACAATCAAAAACAAATATTATATTTAAAATAATAATAAATATACTCCAATCGATAACAACCATCCAGACAAGTTGTTAGAAAATTCTTTGATTTTTTTTTTCTTTTTTACTCCCACAGTAGTTATCGAAATTTGTAAAAAGTAAACATTGTGGCCAAGAGCTGAAGCAGGACATAGTAAAAAGCAGATTAGCTCCAAAAATTTGCCACGCATTGGACACGTGGTCACAAATTAAGTCCATTTGTTCATCTTCCTTTCAAGTAAAAGCTGAAGCAGTACACAAGTAGGTTTCCCAGAGAAAAAGGCAGATCCCATCATCAACAAAATCTTCTTGCTTGGTTAGTTTAAAATTTTCTTCCCATTATTTTGTTATTTTTTTTTCCTATCGGGTGTATTGGAGCTCAATTATATTCGGATTTGCGCCGCGCAATGTTCCATTTGGGAAAGCTCTTTTTTTCTATACCACCTCGAACCGGACCTCTGGTTAAGGAAATAACAGTCCTATCCACTGCACCACATCTTCTGTCTCATACTCTGTTTTAGTTGTTGTTTCCCTTGGATATGCACATGTCTATAAAGAAATATTCATTTTGGAAGCAAATAATTAGAGACAAGTATAATATGAAAATTAAAGCGTTAGACTAATAGTCTGAAATATGGGTAAGTTAATCCAAACACCATGAGATACAAAGAGTTCTTTCCCCACTTAAAACGGTGATGCCTTGGCTAGCTTTTGCTCCTTAACTTTTTCTTGGGCACTTGTAAACTCTATCCATTACATTAATATTTATACATATAGAAAGAAATCACCTAAGTCTAGATTTGAACCTAGTCTGCTATGGTTTTAGGTCCATCTTCATTAACCGATAGGCTATACCCTTTTGTAAGGAACGCATAAGGAAACATAAGTAGATCTTCAACAATAACATTTTCGGTGTAATTCCACAAGTGAGGTCTGTGGAGGGTTGCGTCTACGTAGGTAGACCTTTTTCCTACCTCGTGGGTAGAGAGGCTCTTTCCAGAGTCTCGAAGGACAAAATGAAAAGGAGCAGTAGCAATAAGCAATAACAATATCGATACAGAAACAATATTGATATAACTCTAGAAAAAAAAAAGACTACAAGACTCATACCCTCCTAGTTAGGGTTATGTGGTTATTAAGCTGAAGTTGTGTCATGTCCCGCCTAATCACCTCACCTTAATCACGCTGATACTTCTTAGGCCTACCTCTACCTCTCCTCGTGCCTACCACAGCCAATCTCTCATAAGTAGATCTTCCTTCACCAAAAATCTTAAGTCTTGGTAAGCTGAATTTTTTTTATAAATTGCTTTTAGGTGATTACGTTACATTTCCTCCATTGGTAATTTAATACAATTCAACTTGATACTTAATAAATACTAAGGTAAGTATTAAGTTATTGGAAATCTAATAGTAGCTGATTTGCTGCAAAAGTGTGAACAGCTGCTGAGCTGCTTTTAAGAGTGAAAATTACCAGATGCTGGTCAAATATTTGAAGCTTATTAGCGGCAAAAGACAATGTGATTCTCATATGTGTTGTTTTGAATTTTACTTTCCAATAACAAATCTATATAATCCACTGTATTCTTGAATTATTATTGGAAAGGTGTTGTTGCTCTAAAGAATGCAATTTATAGATATCAGGAGGAGATGGATGAGTGTCATTTGTGTACTATATGCAGATGATTTGAAAATTACTTACCTTTGTGTTCTTGTTTATTTTCTGCAGATTTCTCTTGGCGTTTATGATGCCACCTAGGACTACCGATCTACCTGAGAATGTTGTCAATGCCATTCTGATGCGTTTGCCTTTGCGTGATGCGGTGAGGACGAGCATCTTATCAAAGAAATGGAGGTATAACTGGTGCAGACTTCCACAGTTGACACTTGATGATAAACTTTGGAAGACGACAGATAACTTTCCATCCCCTTCTATTAAGTTTGCAAGCATTATGTACAACATTTTGACCCTTCATTGTGGACCAGTTACTAAGTTTACCCTCTCCATGTCTGAACTGAAAAAGTATCCTCAGATTCGCAGCTTGATATATTTCCTCTCTAGGAACGGCATTGAACATCTTGTTCTTCAATTTTCGGAGTGGAACCGATACAAATTGCCTCCATCATTTTTCATGTATTCGCAGTTGAGGCATTTGACACTCCAAAATTGTTTAATATGTCCTCCACCAGCCTTCAAAGGATTTGATATGTTAATTAGTTTGGAACTGTGTTATGTCTCAATTTCCTCTAAGTCACTAGAAAGTTTAATCTCTTGTAGCCCGTTTCTTGAGAATTTAGAATTGAAAATCTCAGATACTGTAAACCACATTCAAATTAAAGCTCCCATTTTGAGATCCTTCGACTTCTCAGGCTGTATAAAACTTATTTCCTTAAACAATGTTCCTCTTCTTGCTAAGCTCTCTCTTTTGTATGGAGAATCTTTTGAGGAATCAGAAAAATGCGATCTTGACAAATTTTTTCAGTCACATCATGCTCTTGAGCATCTCCACTTGGAATACGGGAGTGTCCAGGTAAGTGTTGCTTTAGAACTTCATTGTAATGCATTTTAATGGAATGTACCATCTTTTGGGATTTGAGTCATCTTGATTTTTTGTTTTATTTGTAGTTCTTGGTTGCTGAAGTACCAAGAAGGCTTTCCGTTTCTCTTATCCATCTTAAACGTCTTTGCGTATTTCTGGATGGACTAGACGATCTTTCCTGTGCTCTTTGCTTGCTGCGAAGCTCCCCATATTTACAAGATCTTGATGTGAAGGTTATTAATGATGTTTATATTTCTCTTTTTCTTTTGTAATTGGTAAAGTTGCCTCCATGTAACTAGGAGGTCACAGGTTCGAGCCGTGGAAACGCGCTCTTGCAGAAATGTAGGGTAATGCTGCGTACAATAGACCCTTGTGGTCCAGCCTTTTCTCCGGACGCCACATATAGCGGGAGCTTAGTGCACCGCCCTGCCCTTTTCTTTTCTTTTCTTTTGTATGTAATGACGGCTTCCTTATTTTCATACTCATTAGATCTTCAATCTTCTTAATCTTTCTTAGGTATCTATGGATGAGTCTGATGATGAAGCTGATGACATTTCTACAAGCTTTTCAGATGTGACATTGAATCATGTTAGGACGGTTAAAGTTAAAGGAATAACAGGCACAAAGCTTGATATGCAGCTTATCAAGCTTCTATTGGCCAAATCTCCGATGCTGGTGAGAATGCTGATTGAGCCAGACCTATATTGGGTAAACAAAGAAAAAGGAGCTGAGATACTTGCACAGTTATCAACATTTTCAGCGGGCATCGCGTAAAGCTGAAATTGTATGTCAGCTGGAAAGGGAATGGAATTGAGTCAGGAGAATGCAATATTATATGGATGTCTTTTGTCTGGTAGAGAGTAGTATTTCTGTGACTTGGATATGAACCTAAACTTTGGCTGTTTATTTTCTGTGTTGGTTTGGTTCTCTACCTTGCCTCTTTCTCCCAGCTAGGGGTAAGGTTTGTGTACACACTAGCCTTTTCAGACCCCACTTGTCGGATTATACTGGGTATGAATATGTTGTTTTTGTTGGTGGTGGTGGTTTGGTTCTCTACGATAGGAAAAATCCCTTTAGCGGTTTCTCCTAACAAAGTCTATTCCTGTAATGTAACAATTTGGTAACAGGCCCGACTAAGCTTTTGTTTGCCGAGTCCCCAGTGTCGGAGGCGGAGCCAAAAATTAAAGTTTATGGGTTCTGAAATACTTATTGAACCCATTGCTTGTTTAGTTACTGGGTTCGTAATTAAAAATTTATACATATTTAATGGATTTTTTAATACAAATACCAGATCTAAGTAAAAGCTACTGGGTTCGGGCGTCGCCCGAATCCATACCTACTTCTCTAGCTCCGCCTCTGCCCAGTGTTGGTGAGATTGCTAATCTATACATGGCTTCTAGATGATAAACCTCTTCACACAAGATTAAAATTACTCGCTGAGCTATCAAAATATCGGTCCTGATTTTTCCTTCATCTTATTAAAATAACGCAAAACTTGGTGTTACTACTACATCGATATTTGTTTCTCTCTTATTCAATTTTAACTTCCATAACATTTCAACCAAACTTCATGATTTGATTAAATCTACACGTTCATAAAATTTTACGTAGACTACTTCTTGCTTTAGATGATGCACGCAAAAATCTTTGATACCTCAGTGAATATTTTGGTCTAATACTTCCATCTTCATTGATGAGTAAGCTTTTCATGGCCAATAATTTGAAAGCTTGCGCCATATCTTATCCCACTGCTTATCCTTTCAATCGATTACGGGTCGTTTGGTTGGGAAACATCTGATTTCGGGATTAATTCTCCTATAATTATTTTTGGAACCCCAGGAAATTTCATTGCGGCTATGGCCTCTGTTGTGAGCACTTTGTGATGAGCACTCTGTGCGCACTGGATAAACCCCTACTATATAATAGCATACAAACCACACATGGGATATAAACTGCACTAGGCAAGTCTTGTGTGGCAGGCTCGACCCATAAGGCATAGAGGGGAGATCGATCCCAGGTCATCTACATGGATGACCGCCCTTCAAACCAACTGGGCCATCCCCGAAGGGATTATCCTGTAATTATTATCCCACCCTTTCATAGGGATAAAAATAACACTACAACTCTAGGATAACTAATCCCGTTACACTACAATTTTATTCTATTCAAACATGGGATAAACTCACTTTAAATTTAATCTCAAAATTAATTATTCTTATCCCTTGTACCAACTGAGCCCTTAATCTCTTAGTTTGTCTATAATTGTTTTTAGGCAGAATAGGTAAAGACCCCCCTAAACTTGATACTTTTTAATGAGTGTACACATTAACTATACGGGATTTTAATTACCCCCCTATGCTTACTTTTTCGCATTTTATTACCCCCCTAACCTGCCACATGGCAGTTTAAGTTTGTCCAAATGGCTGAGTGCGCGTGGGGAGATATTTTTTGCCACATCAGTTGAATATTTACCATCTCTAACGGTAATATTCTCCCCCAACGGTAACAACCCCTATTTATTGGCTTCTTATCCTCTTCTTCAGCAACAAACTTCTCACAATATTTGTCCAGCCAAATTTCATATCCCCCTAACAGTTTGGCTCTTAGTTTTTGCCCAAATAATATCTATTTTTTCAATAGCTGGAAGATAGAATATGAATGTTCTTTGTAGATGTGGCAAGCCAACTCCTTTAAAAGTTGCGTGGACTACTGCAAATCCTGGGAGACGATTCTTTGGATGTAGTCTTTATCCCAAGGCAAATTCTTGTCGATTTTTTCAGTGGTATGAACCTCCATTTCCGGAGCAAGCAAACATTGTTATTTCTGGGTTGTTGAAGAAGACTAACAAACTATCGGAGAGGGAAAGAATGCTAAAGTTTCTTGCTAAAGTTTCTACTATTTTTCAGTTTACTTTTGAATCTGGTTTTGTTCATGTACAAATAGATAAACAGCTATTTGATAGTATGTAATAGTAGTTAAGCAATATGATATGCTGTTCGACACTGCTATCCACATAAACAACCAATCACAATCACAACATTTTGTTAGCATGACTGGTAATTTGACAAAGAGAGTCGTAATTTAACATCTAACAATAGAGTTAACCTATGTTGTCCATATACAGCTAAACATACACATGACAAACAAGTCCACAAAATAAAGTTTAGTACCAGCATAAGTATCCACAAAAGACAGACATCCCATGAATTCAACCAAAACAGCCACCCCATGAATTCAACAAAAAAAAAAGAGTCTAGTATATCAAATACTACATCCAAACAGTATCGAAATTCAAGTGGTCTTCTTGGAGGGAGATTTTGCCATAACCTTAGATCTTGTTTGTATTCCGCCGGATTGGGACCTTGTCCTGATTCTAGCCATTGCAGCTTGGACTTGAAGTTGTCTTTGAGTCACAGCTTCCTTCCCTTTCCATTTCAAACCTTTAGAGGCTTATATCCAATATCACCAGTAACATGGCTAGAATCAATCAAAAGGGCCAGTACAAACCTTTCTTGCTGTAGGCAAACCTTGCTGATAACATTCAAACCAAAAGATATATTTTAAAGTTAGACAATAAAATATGCCTAAAATGTAAGGACAAAATAAAAATACATACACTTACATTAATACATGTAAAACCAGATTGTGCAACAAATATACCATGCCCTTGAAGCCTAGGCTTCTTGTAGTGGCTTCTTGCCCCCCNNACCACCATCGTCCTTGAACGCCGTACGGCCTCTTGTAGTCGGCTTCTTCCGACCCCCCCCCCCCCAGATTTTTCCTCAGTACTTGTAGATGCCTTACTTGTAGATGCATTGTCAGATTCCTTTCTGCCTCTCTTTTGTGAATTTTTTGTTGTTGATTGTTGTGAGCAATTAGTAGTCTATTAATATGAGAAAATGATGAATTAGCTCTTAGATAACTAAGAAGATAGTAATAAAGGAAGAAGGTAGGAAGGTACCTCTTGATTACTTTTTGGTCTTGTTGGACAACTCCTCATATTGTGAGTACTTGCTTTGCAAATGGAGCATGTCATAGTTATTCCCTTCTTTGATAATTTTGCAGCCCTTTTTATTTCTCCAACTTCCTTTCTTCTATTTTTTCTTGGCCTTCCAGGGGAAAATTTTATTTTGTGTCTCATACAACTTACACTAGTTGTATGAGGCAACTTTTTATCTCACGGTTTTGTGGACCCAGAATTCTGTGGACCCAGCAATGTAAGATTGGGGTCCACATTTTTGTGAGACAAAATGGAGCCTCATACAACTAGTGTCAGTTGTATGAGACACAAAATAAAACTTCTCGCCTTCCAGGCATGTTTTGAACTGGAGGAGGTAATACCTTGGGGTTACTACTTTCTGGCCACATTATCATGTTGGGAACAGGTTGTATGAAATGTGAATATGCCTTCATGTAGGTTTCTTTCCTGTACCAATGTACAATATGCTCTGAAGGATCAAGTCTCTTGAAGTGCATTGATGTTATAGCATGTGCACATGGAATGCCTTTAAGTTCCCAAGACCTGCAACTACAATAACCTGTTCTTAAATCCACAATGAACTTGCACGGACCATCTTTGAGTTCAAATCCAGTATCTCCATTAAACATGAAGTCAACCCTCATTGACCTTTCAACATTAGTATTGAACACCATCATGGCATTTAACAACCAAGGACAACCAGTTCTGCATTTAACTCTGACTCTATGGGGCTCATTGGGATCTTTAACTAGTTGAATACCTTTCTTTATAGCATACTTGGTAACTGCTTCTCTAAATTCCTTCACATTCTCAAATACCATCCCTAATTGCCAAGTAACAACTTTGACAGAAGGATCATAAACCACTATATTTGTTTTTTCCTTCCCCTTAACTGTCCCATATCATCTACATCATCATCAGATACAGGATCACCCTCCCCTTCAAGATCTGATTCAGATTCAAAACTATCTGCATCTGAACTATCAAAGTAAGGCTCATCATCACCTCCTAATTTGTCTCTCATATTTTTTTTGGGCTGATCTATGTTCTCATAACCTTCATCAACTCCAACTTCACCTAAAAATCCATCAGGTTTTTCCTTCCTAAGTTTTCTTCTATTCTTTTGTCTATATTTCTTCAGATCTTCCTTAACAACCCTCAACTCTTCATGGACATCACTTCCATAATCAAATGACCTCTCAGATTCATCATCAGATGTTGGTTCTACTTGTTGAGAATCAGCAGCAGCAACAGCTTCCTCTTCCTCTGAGGAGGAAGTCCAATCTATGCTTGAATCCTCTTCTTGAGTGGTATTCAAAGGAGTAGGTAACCCTATTTCTTCTTCTTCTCCAACTGGTTCTACTTGTTGAGAATCAGTAGTAGTGTCTACTAGACCATGAGAAGCAGCATCAATAGATTCTTCTTTCTCTGAAGAGGAAGTCCAATCTATGGGTGAATCCTCTTCTTGAGTGGTATTCAAAGGAGTTGGTAGCCCTAGATGTGGATTTGCAGCAGTAGCATTTAAAGGAGGACCACAGGAAACAAAAGATTCCCCATTGTCTTGTTGTGTGCTAGAAGATGCATTAAAAGGCTCACCCACGTGGCTTATTTGGCTACCCCCTATAGCATCCACCTCTTCAAATTGTGAGTCAGAAGAGACAAAAATTTCTATTGTGTCCCCATTGTTTAATAACATAGCAAAGTCCATTAATCCTTGTCCTTTGTTAATTCAACCAAACTGCCACCCTTAGCACTCATAATATAAGTTTTTCCTAACTTTGTAATCCCAAAACCCTTAGCATAATCAACTAACTCTGGTATTGACAAGTGGTCACAGTCGACATTAGTCACATGTTCAACCCTACCCCCAACATATAGAGGTCCTACCTCACTCACCAATATCCCACCAATTTTCCATCTCAGATTCAGATACTTAGTATCCATGAGACCCTACACAACAGTAAGAAAAAGGAAAAACAACTCATCAAGACAGAAGTTTGAACAATTATATATAGAAGATTACAACTTCGGTACAGACCCCCAAAAATCAACAAACAAA